CCCATCCCCATCGCCACCGCCATCCCCATCCCCATCGCCATCCCCATCGCCATCCCCATCCCCATCGCCATCGCCATCCCCATCGCCATCCCCATTCCCATCCCCATCGCCATCGCCATCGCCATCCCCATCCCCATCCCCATCCCCATCCCCATCGCCATCGCCATCCCCATCCCCATCGCCACCGCCATCGCCATCGCCATCCCCATCCCCATCGCCATCGCCATCCCCATCGCCATCCCCATCCCCATCCCCAACCCCATCGCCATCCCCATCGCCATCGCCATCCCCATCGCCATCCCCATCCACATCCCCATCTCCATCGCCATCCCCATCGCCATCCCCATCCACATCCCCATCTCCATCGCCATCCCCATCGCCATCCCCATCCCCATCGCCATCCCCATCCCCATCCCCATCGCCATCCCCATCCCCATCCCCATCCCCATCCCCATCTCCATCCGCATCCCCAACTGCATCCCCATCCCCATCCGCATCCCCATCCCCATTCGCATCCCCATCCCCATTCGCATCCCCAACTGCATCCCCATCCCCATCCGCATCCCCATCCCCATCTGCATCCCCATCCCCATCCGCATCCGCATCCCTATCTCCATCCGCATCCCCATCTCCATCCGCATCCCCAACTGCATCCCCATCCCCATCCGCATCCCCATCCCCATTCGCATCCCCAACTGCATCCCCATCCCCATCCGCATCCCCATCCGCATCCCCATCCCCATCCCCATCGCCATCCCCATCCCCATCTGCATCCCCATCGCCATCCCCAACCCCATCCCCACCCCCATCCCTATCGCCATCCCCATCCCCATCCCCATCCCCAACCCCATCCCCATCCGTGTGGAGCCCGCCTCCGGCTGCGCGTGGGGAACGCCATGGAAACGGGCATCAGAGCCATCGTGGTCCTGGCACTGAGGGGGACCCAGCACCCAAGGCCACCTCAGAGCACCACAGGGCAGGGAGGGGATGCCAGCTCGCAACTGGCCCACATGCTGGTGTATGGCGGGTGTTTTATGGCCCCACAACAACCACAAACTTTACCCTGCCATTAAAGATGATGAATTGGCTTCCGATCACCTCCAGCAGCTGTCTGGGGCAATGAGACACTATGAATGGTAAAGTCACTTGTCCAACAGAGGCTCAAGCAGAGGGGAAGCAGACTACATCAGGTCTCAGCTTGGATGAGAGTAAACTTGGATGAGACTAAACCCAGTTTAGTCCCAACTTGGATGCTTTGGGGATGGTTCGGAGGAGTTACTGTGCTGTAGTTAATGCGGTGTTGGCCCGAAGCTGTGAAACCACACACAGTTGGAGGAGCTCACGTTAGTTGTAGCTGTCAGTGCTGATCGGTGCTGCAGTCTGGGCTGCAGTGGGCTTGAGTGGCCCACAGTCTAAAGGTGAAGCACATCCCGTGTTTATTGGTGCTGTGGAAACTGAGGAACAATGGATTCGGAAGAAAGCAACAGCACAAATCTATGGGTTGAGTTCATAGAGCCCCAGCCTGGTTTGGGTTGGAAGGGACCTCAAAGCTGATCCAGCTCCAACCCCTGCCACGGGCAGGGACCCCTTCCACTAGAGCAGCTTGCTCCAAGCCCCTGTGTCCAACCTGCCCTTGAACACTGCCAGGGATGGGGCAGCCACAGCTTCTCTGGGCACCCTGTGCCAGCGCCTCAGCACCCTCACAGGGAAGAGCTTCTGCCTAAGAGCTCAGCTCAGTCTCCCCTCGGGCAGGTTAAAGCCATTCCCCTTGGCCTGTCCCTCCATCCCTTGTCCCAAGCCCCTCTCCAGCTTTCCTGCAGCCCCTTCAGGCACTGGAGCTGCTCTCAGGTCTCCCCTTCAGGAGCCTTCTCTTCTCCAGGCTGCCCCAGCCCAGCTCTCTCAGCCTGGCTCCAGAGCAGAGCTGCTCCAGCCCTCGCAGCATCCCCATGGCCTCCTCTGCACTCACTCCAACAGCTCCACGTCCCTCTTGTGCTGCTGCCCCAGAGCTGGATCAGGGCTGCAGGGGGGTCTCCCCAGAGCACAGCAGAGGGGCAGGATCCCCTTCCAGTGAGCTGCACCCACTGTGTAACTGAGCGCTCACTGGCTTGCAGCGGGGCTGGGAGTTGTGTCCTGTGTTTCAAACACCCCTGGTTTTGTACATGTCTCCATATGAAGACAGAAAACCCCAACGGGTGAAGTGGTCCAGCCTGTCAGGAAACAAGATAATGAAACCCCACTGATGGAATCCTCAGATTCTATTCTATGTTAACTTGAATTCGTCACTTAACTGTTGTGCTGCCTCCTTGGTTATCAGTGAATTCTGAATCTCTTCTCCTTTTGTCTCTGGTTTTCTGCTCCACAAAGGGTCAGGATAAAATAGTATGCTACGGCCATAGTAAAGGGTAGATTCTTTGGGCCTGGTGTGGAAAACTCCCTTTGCAATCATAAATGGGAAGTTTACCTGCCAGCAAGCCAAAAAAATACCCCCAAAACGAGAAGAATCCAGGAAAAAAGTAGCACTGGGACACTTTGTGCTTCAAGAGAGCAAAAAGGAACCTTAGGAAGACCCAGAGCACGGCTCCATCTTAACTGGAACCTTCAGACCACAGATTTGCCCTCTTCTTTGTTTCTTGTTTGTTATACTGGCTTTCCCCTCTTTAACGTGTGTGTACAGAGTCGCCTTTGTTGTTTCCTCTCAGTGTTAATAGGATGCCAATTATTAGTAGTATTACTTAAAACAAAAGCTAAAAGGTGAAAACCCCTGAAGAGCTGGGGCCACATTTCCCAAGTTTGCTGTTACACTCTGCAGGAATAACACCTTCCCTCTTTGCAGTCTCCATGTGCTTTATACACATGCTGAAATTGAACTTCACCATTCCACGGAGAGGCATTCAGATGTTCCCCTCCTTTTACAGATGAGAAAACTGCAATCAAAGTCTCCAGTTAGGTCATGGACAAAGCAGCACAGCAAGAAGTAACCCCAGCCCGGATTCCTTGACTCCTTGCTCTCTAGCCGCATCTTTTCCCATCTTCCTTTCATCCCCAGCTATCAGAAAATGCCACCAAAATGGTTTATATTGATTCTGTACAGCGGGAAGTACAGTCGGTGAGGTACAAATGAATGGTCAAACTACCTAACGGAATGTAATCCTGATGTTTTTTGCAAGCTCCATACGTAATGTGTAGTTATGACACTGTCCGTGTCTCTAACAATAAAGTGCTCAAGAGTGGTTTGGGGTGCCTTTGAATTTTGATTAGGTTCCATCCGTTTCCCTTCGCTCACAGTATTTCTTTACCACAATAGAAGGTGCCAGTGCCTATTTACCCATGTTGGTTCCTTAGATTACAAATGAAGACAATTGGCATGGGAGGAATCACTGCTGAAGAGAAGGCTTGCAAATGGAGCGGGCAGCTACAACCATCTCTGAATGAAATGGTATTTGCTCTTCTATTTCAGCAGACACATATACAAGTGGCCTCAGCGCTTGCAATGGAACATGTCTGACACTCTGTACATGCAAAGCTCCAGAGCAGAAGGTATAAATTACAGGAAGGAAAATAAACCTGGTGCTGCGCACTCGGGATGTTTGTGGTAGGCCAGTGGAGGCTGTAGACTGAAAATATAAAGGCCATGCATATACAAACTCATGAGAGATAAAAGCACTCTGGAGGTAGAAGTGGGGCACTGTCCCTTCCTGCTCTCCATACGTATCCATAGTGCTTGACATGCACAGCTTTTATCTTTAGGCACACAGGAGCTGAGCTGCGAAGATCTGCCCCAGTGTGGGACACGTGGTATCTCTGTGTCCCATGAGCAGTTCAGGAAGGTTTGAGTTAATGTTTGAGCAGTTGCGACTGTAACTTCCATCTTCTTTCTTGTTTAACCTTCTTTCGCAGGTTTTCGGTCGTGCAATTACTGCTTATGCGTTTTTAGAGGAACTTCATTGCCATTTTGACCTTGCAGCACTTGTAATCACCTTTCAGTTCTGCAGCATTGGCAGATTTGATTGCAGGAGTGATTTATTCTAATCCTTTAAAGACTGCCTCCCCCCCCTTGTCCATGTGGAAAAGTGAAGAATTTCATTTCACAGTCATTTCTTCCACCCGTTTAGTTTTCATATCATAGCTTGTGACAAAGCCTTCCGCAGTGTTTCAGGCCAAAACCCTGATTGGCATTGTCACAATCCCATATTGGCATTATGAGATCGGAATCAATAGAGCCCTGGCACTGCGTGCACTCTGACATTCCAGCTATTCTATAACAGCCATTTCGGTTTAAGAAACACCAAAATTAGTTGAATTAATAGTAGCTGAAATAAGTCAAGCAGAAGCTTGCACATGCGATGACCCAGGTGGAAAAAATCAAGCTTGGAAACCACTTAAGCCATTGACAGATCTGGGAAGGCTGTTAGGGGGAGAAACACCCACCCATCAATCTATTTCTTATCCTGTTTCCCAACTACTTGGCATCCCATGGTATTTGGATGTTGTGCTTGACTGGACTTAGCCTGAAATCTGGTGTAAAAAATCAGTGCCTGAGCCTACAGATCCTGATTGCTTTGATCACTGAAGTGCCTAATAGCAAAACGTTCACGTGTATTCAACTTCACTGATGTCAGCCTCGCCAAGTAAGAGCAGAACTAAGAAAGCAGGGGAATTAGATGGACCTGTGTATTTATATCTGTCCACAGGAGGCTGAAAAATGGTGGAAAAGTATTTCAAAACGGGCTAAACCCAAAAGCTAAGGTGTTTATTGTGACAGATTATAGCGGGCTTCCTGTGGTGAATGGAACTGCCATGGCGTGGCTGCTGGAAAGAAAATTGGTGGTGTCAAAATGACTGTAGCTGTCCACTCTTCTTTCCAAATGGGCTTTAACTGCACATTCTTGTTTATTACTCTCCTGCTGGGGCAAGTACCTGCAACAGTCTGTGTTACTAATGCAGTTATACTCTGAAGGGCCTCATTTCTCTTTCCTGGCTCAAGCTGACTTGTATTTATATGGGTGAATAATCCTTAGATGGAAAATTATGTACTCCCTAAAGGGAGCTACAAGATACCCTGAAAGGGGCTTTTGACAAGGGCACAGAGTGATAGGAGAAGGTGGAACGGCTTTAAACTGAAACAGGGGAAGTTCAGGTTAGATATAAGGAAGAATTTCTTCCCTGTGAGGGTGCTGAGGCGCTGGCACAGGGTGCCCAGAGAAGCTGTGGCTGCCCCATCCCTGGCAGTGTTCAAGGGCAGGTTGGACACAGGGGCTTGGAGCAAGCTGCTCCAGTGGAAGGGGTCCCTGCCCGTGGCAGGGATTGGAGCTGGAGGAGCTTTGAGGTCTCTTCCAACACAAACCAGGCTGGGGTTCTATGACTGAATACTGCTTAATATAAAAGATACAGAATCAAGACTTTACTTTGTCCCTGGTCCAGTGTATTCGTTAGTTACCTGGGTGACAGATGGAAAGCATTCCTACAACATTTGCATGCACTGCTTATGTGTTAGAGGGCAAGCTTAGAATTCAAATTGACCTAGAAAGTTAGAAATGTAGCGCAGGAGAAAATGAGGATAAATAGGGACAGATGCAAGATAGAACATTTAGACAGGAATAATTAATTGCAGAAAGCCAAGCCAGAGAACAGCCTGGGAAATAGGGCAGAAAATGATCTGGGATGTCACAAGCTGAGCATGAGTCAACAGTGCCATGGTACTGGGAAAAGGGAAGCACCCTGCCTGCGAGAAGGGTAGCCTCTTGGACACACAGCAGTCCTCCACGCAGCAAAGACTTTAGACTTGATTTTAATCCGGGAAGATTAATGCTTCACTTCAAGGAAAGCATTATCAGGTAGGGATAGGGAAGCACGGTGGGATAGATTGCCAGGGAAGAGCTAAAGGTCCAACATGGTCAACCCGTGTCTGGATGTGTAGCAGCCCAGAAAGGCAGGTCTGATCCGAGGGCAGGAGAAAGGACTGCATGACCTCTTGAGGTCTCTTCCAGCTCCGTTTCTGCAATCCTACAATTCCTGCTTGTGGGTTTGGGGCATATTGGCCAGAACAAGCATTATTCAATGTGAGGTTTGCAGAACTGCCAGCTAAATTTAGACAGAGCACACTAAGCAGTGACAGGAGATAAATGAGCTCAAGGGA